TATATATATATATATAATATATCACTAATATAAAATAAATGGAATTTTATACTAAATTTTTGCTACAGTTGGTACTCCAGGTATCTTTACGACGCCAGTAATTGCGACGCAAGGGCCTGTATCTGGTTGGGTTACGGTGCTGAAATGTACAGTTGGAACCGGTATTGATGTTCGTCAGGCATGGTTAAACGGTACTGGTATTTCCGATGATAACGCATTCATGTCAATGGACACTAAACAAAACTACAGAAACCATGCTGTCCTGAAATCGTGGTCATCTTTGTTTATTCCTTCGGTCTGTGCATATTATTAAATATTGAATTCATGAATTACATTATTAAGTACCGGTATGGTGTATCATATACCAAATTGAGCATAGGGCCACAAGTTTACATAAATCAGCAAATTTTGTTTGGTCATTTAAAGTAGAGGAAACACAAACGTAGAGTATAAAAAACAATGCAAAAGATGTGATCATCCACGCAAACAACCACATGCAAACACTGCAGCTGACACACTGTTGAATCTTCTAAATCATGAAAAAATCCTTTTACTCTTATAGACGTTCATTATTTATATAAGCCTATCATTGTATTCTTGCCTTCTACCTGGGCTGAAATAGTTTTTAAAGAATCAAGAATCACTCACTGTTTTCTGGGAATGAACTTTCAAACATGGTATTATAAATATCTTCATATCTATCTCTAGGCCAAGTTAAGCTTTTACGATGAATCTCAGAATTTGGTAGCCTTCATCTGGTGTTCTGCAAATGGCTATACGATGACAACATGGTTTTGGCAAAATCTGTTTATTGGTTCTTCTTGGATTGATATTTCGCCTGCTTACAGCTTCTCCAACTTTGGTTTTAACGGATACAAGTAGGTACATCGAAACATTAATACCATACTCTTATACTGTCTGTGTTTATAAACCTTGAATATATTCTTTATAAAAAAAAGAGTTAAACTGCTCAATTTGTGTAATATAAGCTATTAATTGAAAGACAAATGACAAATTTGACAAAAAATGTCATTATCAGAACAAAACTAGAAGGCATTCTGAGAGGGCATACCTTCACCCACATCATAATTCTCTTCCGTACTATAAATTTCCCACGCATAAACTGTCCTCATGAAAACAAGTTCTTGTAATCTCGAAAGCTCCGATGAGGGCAGTATAATAGAGGCAGTAGAGTGTCTTGGCCCTATCAAAAAAGATCTATTAATCAATCAAACAATCAAACAATCAATCAATCAATCAATCAAACAATCAATCAGCCGAGTATTCCTAGAGCTCCTTTGAAATCACTCAGTAACTAGGCCCCTATGAGTCAGCCGAGTAATCCTAGAGCTTCTTCAAAGTTATATAACTATGGCGCCGCTCGTTGGTCTAGAAACATGCAAGGTGTAAAACTATGTAACTATGGCTTGTTGGTCTAGAGAATGAATGTAGGTTAGGGTGTGAGAGGTCCCTGGTGTAATTCCTGGACGAGGCCGTTATTTTTTTCTCTAAAAATGAAGAAAGATCTACTAATTAATCAGCGAAAAAAGATCTTCAATCAGCCAAGTATTCCAAGAGCTGCTTCAAAATTACATAGTAGTAGGCCTAGGCAGTTTTCGCCGCACGACGGTAACCTTAACGTTAACGGATGACGTCATAATTTATTCATCTTGCGTTGCGGAGTACGTTAATTTCAGGAGTTTACGTGCTCGACGTACGTTAGTTACGGGTTTGCGCATGCGTATTTCGATTTGTTTACAAAAGGGCGGAGCTATCGTGCTGCAAGATGGGTACTAACGTTAAAGTTAACGTCGTGCAGCGAAAACTATCTAGTATTAGTAATTATGACGTTGTAGCTTAGGGTGTGAGACACAGTAACTATGGCTGTTGGTCTGGAGAAATGAATGTAGGTTAGGGTGTGAGAGGTCCTTGGTTCAAGCACAGTCGATCAGCTAGACATTCCACAAGTCTCTAATTTATTGATTTTTCCAAAAGAGTATTTGATTTTTCGTAATATTAGCACATTTCGGAAAGCGCCACCAACGTCTGTTTATTTCGAGAAACTTTTTGATGCGAATTAGAATCCCAGAAAAAGTATACTATGGAACGCCATGCAAATAAGCAATATGGAACGCCAATAGTGCCAAAATTTATTCATTTTTAAGCATTTTCACTGATTAAGACAAAGTTTAGAGACTGGAACCCAGTCTATCGATCAGCAAAAAAGCAAAGCCAATCATCCATGAAAAAAGCACAGTCAATCAGCAAAAAAAGCACCCATTCCCATTCTGCTGGGTATTCCTAGAGCTGCAGTACTGTTACCTAAGTTGCTTGGTTTAATATACGGACAATGAAAAATAAAAAAAGGGAATTAAAAAGAAAACCAGTTTGGCATCAAAAACCTATTATAAAGGTCATGGTTGAACGTGTTTCTGCAGACGTCAACGCGTTAGAGATACCCAATGTCAACGCATTACCTTCTGAAGCAAAACCTGTAAAAAAAATAGTCATTTTTTATCATAATTCGGACATCTATCAATTTAAAAGTTGTTTTTTCCTGATTTTTAGGCAGTTTTCTATCTCGTTTGGTAATATTTTAATTATTTTTGCAACCGTGTGGTTCCGTGTGGTGTCGTGTGGTCCGTGTGGTGTTTTGTAGGACCCGAACACTCTTCTTAGGGGTGGCGCCAGAAGGGCTGGGGGGTTTACACCCCCGTCGGGGAAGCATATCCCCCACTCCGTCGGGGAGCAGGAGTAAGTTTTGTCGGGGAATAAACAAATAAAAAAACTTATTTACTTTCATTAAACTATTTTTGTTAAATTTTCATCACAATAATAATAATAATAATAATAATTATTATTATTATAATTGATAATAATAAATAATAATAATGATAATAATAATAATAATAAATAATAATAATAATAATAATAATAATAATAATAATAATAATAATAATAATAATAATAATAATAATAATTCAATGAGACTAATAATAATAATAATTCAATGAAACTAATTAAAAATAATTTGCGTTGTGTTATGACAAATGCTCGTTTGGATAGTCTCATGATGCTTGGAATACATCGTGATAGGGGAAGCAACCTCGACCTTGACAGCATTGACAAATGCAAAATTTCCAAAATGTAGAATTTCACTTTCAAGATGGTTACATTGCATAGTCTTTGTTTCTTGTTTTATTCAAAATGTTTTGGTTTTGGAAGCTGATTTCGACATTAGAAAATATAGCCTACATGAAGTCATATTTTAGTAGTTCGATGCCTATCAAATAAGTAATAAAAATTCGCCATAATTTGTCAAATATCCGCGGCTTCCAGGGGGCTTCGCTCCATGCGGCTCCCCTGGCCCCAGCCAAGTGAGACTCGATTCGCTCCACTAGCCCCTCCGTCGGGACCTTTAGCCCCTCTGTCGGGCAGGTCCTGGCGCCATCATTGATTCTTCTAACAACTACACCATCCAGCGATACCTCCTTGGTGGAGGTAAACAATGCATGGCACTTTACCTACTGTTGTCTGTCTCCGCCCAAAAGAGTGCGTACCTGGTAGGTTAAGCAACCATGCTTTGGTTACTGATGCAAGGATGGCATGTTTCATAATCAGGAGGTTTTCCAAATCGGTTCCACTCTTAATATATAGTTTAATAATTTTTGTGCAGTGATTGCAGTTTGAGGTCTTAGGTCTGGGGTTCGGTACACTCACCACACTGTACATAGGCATACACCGTTCAGCAAAATACTTTAGCTACACGTTTTGTCTCTACACCATATCTAGCTGTTAGAATGCAGTGGCAATAAATATATATTAATTTGTGGTATGTCAACGTGTACTTAAATTGACTGATTTGTCATTTTATGGGGGTCCTAACTAGGCCGGGTAACAACACTGGAAGCACAATGGCAAAATTCGCAGGTACTCAAATAGACCTATCGTTAATATTGTGCTTAACAGAAGGAATATAGTCGGGTTTAAAATTAAAACTTTGCTTTCTTCTTTGTCTAGCGAGCGTTTATTTTACGTTGGCCGATCGGATGAATGTGACACAGGTGCAGGGTGGATCATGGTTGTCAATGGACAGACCAATACCTCCTGTCAGTGGGAATCTGCTGAAAGTTATCCATTGTTCTTGTACAGCAGTGACAAAACATCGGTCGAATGGGCAACTGGTAGTAAGTTTTTAATTAATTTTAAGGCCTAATATCTAAGATACATTCATGCGATATGATGTAGGCCTATACTAATTCGAGTATGGAAAAAGTTTTATTTTCACTATCGGAATGATATCACCAGATGTCTGCACAATTCTGGAATAAACATATTGTAGCACATCATACTTTCTCTTACCACTAAGGGAATTTTTCCAGTAGCGCCCCACCCCCCTCCCCCATTAGGTACGTAAGTGTGGAACGCACCACTTCAGCAAGTGCCGTTGATGCAAAGGCATGTTCACTAAATAATAAAATATATACCGTAATGTAAAGTGACCATTCAGCATGTATAATGTATGTATAGGCCTATATTATATTTTAATATATATGTGTGTGTATGTATATTTAATATATGTGTATGCATGTACTCTTATACACATCT